AGTGCGTAACCCAAAAGCCACTTGAAGCATGGCGCGCGTCTCCATGGGCCATTGATGAAGCATGGTACGCTCAGCTCAACTAACCACAAGCGGTGATTCGACTGGAAACCGCCACGGCATGCATCATGATCACTGCTCAGCATTGCGTTATGCAAAGTGTAGAGGGATCAAAGTAAAATGAACGACCCCCACACTAACTTCCGTCAGATTTGATGACTATTGCGACATACTACACTACCCACTTGTGCAATGTATGAATCTAGTATAGTCTGTAGATAGCAATGAGAACTCCTCGGGCCTAGATCGCTAAGAAGTGGACGTTAGACTTGGTATAATCTATTTTCTAGCCGTATCTCGGTCTCGCTTTTTACGTAGGAGCGCACGAAGCAGGTGTTTTAGGAAGCGCTAGACATACTGTAGATTTAACTTCCCTTTATTTGCCGCAGCCCCTCGGGTGATTGACTCGAGCAACCCTAAACTACGTGCAACACGGACTCCTCTATTCTTTTCGGGTACTATTCTAAGGTTCAGATGATCAGATGAAAAGAGAGGGAGAGAAAGCTCAGACGAAGCTCGCAACCCATACATCCATGGCAGCAACTCCCTTCTTACCCCCCGGTACACCGTCCAAACTCGCCTCGCAAGCATCACGTAGCGCAAAGACCACGGCGCGCTCCCGCTCATCCTTGACACGCTCCTCTACCTCACGCGCAAAGCCAGATCCAAGACAGGCAGAAACCTCCCATTGCCCGTCCTGAAGACCTTCGCCGCACTGCACGCGGCTCTCCTTCTCCAGTTGCCAGCCGGCCGCGACAGCGAGTTCTGTGAGGCGCTTTGGGCCCAAAACCGTGCGGACGTTGGAGATGCTCTCTTCGCCTTTACGGCACTCTAGCGCTGCTTGGGTGAGGGCGGCTAGAACGTGAGGCCGGGCAGCAGCATTCGTTGCTTCCAGGGACCACTCGGAAAGGAGAAGACGCTTGCTGTGCTGTCTGATGGCACGGAAGGTTTCTAGAATGAGAGAGGGAGAGGAAAAGTACCATAGGCAGTGAGCAAGAACTGTTGCGTCAAAGGCCTTGGCGTCGCTGGATGAAGTGAGGGAGGAGAGATAGTCCTGAGGGCTTTGTTGAACCCAGTTGATACGATTGCCAAGCGGGCCTTGTGAGATGTGATCCTGTGCTTGCTTGAGAGTGTACGGGGCACCTACGCGAGTGATTAGATGGACTGACTGCCAAGGCTACTAACAAAAGTCACAGAAGACAGCATGAACTCACCATAATCCAGCGAGGCCGGGTCAACGGCCACCACGGTGCCTTGCTCACCCACAACAGTGGCGAGAGCGGTTGTGCAATCTCCCTGACCGCATCCTAGCTCCAAGATTTTGGAGCTTGCTGGAATATCCCAATGCTGTAGAAGAGCCAGACGGTGAGCGGTTTGGATGAGTTGGACATCGAAGTGCTTGGGGTCGTGCCAGGAAACACGAGCAATGGAAGCAGCGTCAAGTTGAGTGGACATCATGTTGAGCGTGAAAGTTGAGTGAGTTCTGGATGAGTGATTGAGAGATACAACAAGGATTAGTGTCCTGTGATCGGCCAAGAAGGGTAAAGTAATGAAATATCTGGTGGATTCTTGTTTCTAGAAGCTATCTTTGGGGGCAGTGGACTCTTGTACTAAGTATGTAGGGTGAGACCTGGCCTTTAGTATTTGTGTTAGGTTTACCCCTCCAAGGATTCAGGAACAAAACATGCTGCCCACTACCAGCCACGGCTAATCCTATTGTCAAATGTCTGTGCATATTTTGCCCCCAGCCCGTTAGTCAGTCCCTCCTCCACCTCACTCCCTCTTCCTCACCAACTCAAACCCAAATCGCGGCAGCATGGTGTCCAGATGCATGAAGCTGACATGACACGCCACGCGCTGGCACTTCAACTCTACCACGATATTTTCTGCCCCGCTAGGGCAGGCAAACTCCACCGTCGTGCTGTTCGGTTTCACGGTGAGGTCCAGCACGCCGAGCAGCTCGCCGCGCACAGGGAGAGCCGAGTACGACACGGTGTCGTAGTCGAGCTCGTCCATGTTTGTGGAAGAGCCTGGTTTCGAAGTGGCTGAGGGCGCAATAAGCTGCCAGACTTCAATTTCGGAAACGTCTCCCTTGGTAGTCAGGTCCTTGATGCGCGTGGAATTTTCCGGAGGCGCGAGCCAGTTGATTGCGCAAGCGTTGATACCAGCGGTAGGAACCGGGAAGCGCATGATAGTTGAGTCCTTTTTTTTTCACATCAGTATTCTTGTTTGAACCGAAAATAGTGAGAATGAGATGGTAGGAAATCGAGCGTACCTCGACGGTCACATAGACCTGCGGCCCATTTCCCCACACTGAATTCTTCAACTTGCGGCTCACTCGCACCACTCTGTCCGGCCAGGCGCGGAGATACTCTCTGGGAGGGCGAAGAATCTTGGCTGCTCTGTCAAGCCCTAACCTGGCGTCACCGTAGGGAAGGGCATTGAGTTCAGAGTCTGTATAAGGGTAAGCTGCGTAGTTCGACAGCGTCGCAGGAAGCAGAGCGATGTTGGCGCATGATAGCAAGGCTAAAGCCAAGGAAATGTAGAGGATGAGCTTGGGAAGCTGCCAGTGTTTGGGTGCCTGGAGACCTGGAAGATTCTCAGAGGCTTCCAACAGGGGATGATCGTCATCATCCTCGGAAGATGAGCGCTTCTCAAGAGATGTACTAGAGCTGGAACCCTCGCCACCGCCTGGTCGTGAGAGCGGCGTGTACTGAGAAGTGTCTGACTTTGATTTAGAAAACATCTTGGGAGGTCGTTCTAGGGGGCAAATGAGAGTAAGACGACGAACGATGAGGAAAAGGACGAGAGAGCTGGAAGTTGTGGATGAAAAAGAAGATCAGAAGTGATTCAGCGTAGGCCAGAGATAGCCAGACAGAGACAGGTGATGAGTTCGAACAAAGCTTCAACACGCGGAACTACCGTGTGGCGCAGTCTAGCCATTGAGGAGCACGTAAACATGATGATGCAGTGGGACTGCAACGCGTCTGTAGTTTCAAACCTTCACCAGAACTTGACTCGATCAATACGGCGAGAGTAATTTATCTGACATTCCGGGGTGACCGTGTCGGTGACTTTCAACAGTCTCAAGTCAGTTGAGAGGTAGGCTGTCAGGTGTCTTGGCACGAGCTATATCATCTTGCTGTCTCTCTCTGCCGCAGATGGCCGCGTACAGCGTGGAACCTATCCCGATCCAGCACTTGAAATCTCATCTACCATGCCTAACGTCCCTACCGTCCTTACTTTTCTGCTTGCTTTCGGCACCGGCATTAACCTCACATCCGCCGCGGCCCCCGCCCACGCGGGTTTCCACGTTCAGTACCCATGGTCGTCTCGTGGTGGCAACCTCCCGTCTCGGCCAGAATTAGATGAGTTCCACCCATTTTGCCGTAAGTTTCTCCTTATAGTCTTCAGTTCATCAGACTCCCCAGTATTGGCATGATCTAACACACAGCCAAAGGGGAGATCGTGCACAACCCTCAGGCCTACGCCCGCAGCTCCCGCACGTTCCTTTCTTTCTCAGGCCATCCTGGAGACCTTGTCACGGCTCTTTACACTCGGAACAGAGTGCCGAAGAAGAGGGACGACTTCCCTCATGTCATTCTGCAAGACTTACCAATCCAGCCCTCTGGGCAGGTGTGCGTCAATGTTACGATACCGTTTGAGACCACGCTCAACGAGATGGGAGTCATGTACTTTGAAGCCAAGGACCCGGCGACGGGTAAGGTGCAATACTTTGTGAGTTACCCCAGCTGAGAGCTTGATGAAGTGAGATCGACTAATGTGACATGAAATGATAGTGCACTGATGTGAAAATGGCTGATACAGAGGCTCTCCCCGAAGAGCACCCGGCCATGTGTGCGGCTGGGAATGAGACGCTAATCCCGATGCCGGACGAATACCTGTAGATAGAGCTTGAGAAGCATTCATTCCTCAAAAGTCTTGAGTCAAAATTGCAATTTCACATCCCTATCTTAGCTCAGAATACATCATATCAATGCTCAGGCACGCCACAACATCGGAAGGAACATGACTCGGTGTTAAGCTGGATGTTTTTGCACCAATTCTCTATTAGAAATCTGCCATTTAATCTTTGTGTATAACTCCAACGTATATTGTGGAGTAAAGGTCACTGTCTAACTCTTTTGCATAAACCGAACAGATTTACCATAAGGAATCAAGAACAAAAGAAAAGAAATGACAAAAGAGGCCAGTGCACATTCGAGATACGCCATTAGAAACAAAGTCCTTCTAGGATTGCCACAGCGTTCAATGTCTTGGCAAAGCTATCAAAGCAGCATCAGAGCAAGAGCACCGATAATGCGAGCAGTAGTCTCGTACTCGCAAATAGCGTCGGTAGGAGAGCGACCGATCGAGCCTTGGTCGCGAAGACTTCATGGCGCTATGCAAGCTCTCCACAGACGAAGATAGTAAACCTTAAAGTACCGTACCACTATCAAGTCTTCAGGGGTCAGGGGCAAGGCTATCTGGCGGAGACCCGACCGGCCGACGGACAAAACAAACGTGCGTGCGGAAACGATTACTCACCCCCATGCGCTCCGACACCTTGATTTACTCTTTTTTAGTTTTGGTATACTTGCTTGTGTGACCAGCGCTAAGAGAGTAGACTTAAAATGATAAGCAACGAAGTTTATTGCATGGCTTGCAGAGCTCATATGGGGATACGCTTAATTTAGGGACGCTTGCCAAGACAGAACACTGATGTTGAAAAGGAAATTCTATTGTGATTCGAAGAAGGACACCTTTAACTAAACAAACCTAGCTACGCATTTGATCACTGGAAGTTCGCAAAAGTGCTGAGACACCCCACTACATCTCCCCTTCTCGCTAGCAAGCCATAGAATCTATACCGCCCAAAACGATTTTGCCGCAAACCCGCTCCTGCAGTGACTTTTCCTGACTCGCTCCTACCGATTTTGGACTTAGGCGGAAGTCTCATCCTTGTCGACGGAGTAGACGTGGCGCTTGGCAATGGGGGCCTCATCGACATCAGGAGAGTAGACGTGACGCTTCTCGACCTCGTCCTTGTCGACGGAGTAGACGTGACGCTTCTCAAACTCGTCCTTGTCGACGGAGTAAACATGACGCTTAGCAACGGGGGCCTCATCGACATCGGGGGAGTAGACGTGGCGCTTCTCAACCTCGTCCTTGTCGACGGAGTAGACGTGACGCTTCTCGACCTCGTCCTTATCGACGGAGTAGACGTGACGCTTAGCAACGGGGGCCTCATCAACATCGGGAGAGTAGACGTGGCGCTTCTCAACCTCATCCTTATCGACGGAGTAGACATGGCGCTTGTTGAGGGTCTCGTCGACATCAGGGGAGTAGACGTGACGCTTCTCAACCTCATCCTTGTCAACAGAGTAGACGTGACGCTTGTTGAGAGTCTCGTCCACATCGGGAGAGTAGACGTGGCGCTTCTCGACCTCGTCCTTGTCGACGGAGTAGACATGACGCTTGTTGAGGGTCTCGTCGACATCAGGGGAGTAGACGTGACGCTTCTCAACCTCATCCTTGTCAACAGAGTAGACGTGACGCTTGTTGAGAGTCTCGTCCACATCGGGAGAGTAGACGTGGCGCTTCTCGACCTCGTCCTTGTCGACGGAGTAGACATGACGCTTGTTGAGGGTCTCGTCAACGTCCGGGGAGTAGACGTGGCGCTTCTCAACCTCATCCTTGTCAACAGAGTAGACGTGACGCTTGGCAACAGGGGCTTCATCTACATCAGGCGAGTAAACGTGACGCTTGTTGAGTGTCTCATCCACATCAGGCGAGTAGACATGGCGCTTCTCGACGGTCTCGTCCTTGTCGACGCTGTAGACGTGACGCTTAGCGACAGGGGCCTCATCCACATCAGGAGAGTAAACATGGCGCTTCTCAACGGGAGCTTCGTCAACGTCAGGAGAGTAGACGTGGCGCGCCGCCAGAGCAGCTTCAGCGCCAGGAATAGGCCCGGCCTGAACAGGAAGAACGTTCAGGCCGAGACTGGCAAGGCTGAGCATAACACTGGTGATCTGCATTTTGAATGATTGGTTGAAAACTTGGTGGTTTACAAGAAAAAGTGAGTTGAAGAAGATGTTGAAATGATTGTAAGATGATTGTTGTGAAGTGAGATGTTGTTGTGGATGCTCTTTCCTTCGATGGTCGATATTTCCTTGGGTATTTATGGATTTCGAGCTCCAAGTGATGAAGCTCATGGGAGGGATATCCGTTCGACAATCCCTCCGTACGACTACGAATCCCCACGATCAGAAGCGTGCATGTGCGTTATTGCGCCGGCGTTGCCTTCGCAATAATTCTCAAGTCGTGGGTCTTCAGACATTCGTGCCGAGTCTCTAACATGCCTCGTAAAGTTTCCCAGGTGGATTCCACGGTGAGGTTCCAGACAAAGATCGTGACTAGCTATCGGGTTCGGTATACGAGGCTGGTGGAGATCTCCAACAGCAGGGCCGGGGGCATGTAGATGGCACGCTGGCATGATACGCCGTCGGAAGGAGTCATGATGTCCTGATGTCCGTTCCGCCGGGCAAGCCCCATCCAAGCCTCCGTCAGCTCAAGCGGTCAAGCCCCAACGCCTCTGGTAGGCGAATAAATTGACCTGCGGGCGTCCATGATTCATCTGGCCATCGAAACTTTACTTTCGTCGCATATCGAGCAGTCACATCATTTCGTGTGGAGCACGCAACCTGTTCCATACCTGCGGTCCCTTCCTTCCGCTAAGTCAAACCCCCCACTTCCTGGCACCCCCCTGTTTCTGGCACCCACAAAAACGATGGGATCACAACCCAACCTCCTCATTACTATTAACTATTGATCCTCAACCACACCCACTACAATACAACTGCCAGCCTCACTAGGGCATTCAGAGTCGCTGGATTCAGCCGTAATAACCTCCTTTTCACCCGCTTCGATTTGAGCCCGATGGATATCCCTGATGTTCGCAAACTTCGTGTTGGGATCGATCTGAACAGTCTTCCTCTTCCTAACTGCAGCGTTGGTAACAGGCCCTCAGGTGAGCCAGCTGCTGCTGGGCAACTGCCAGTTGCCAGGCCTGCTCTGTGAAGCCTTTTTCACCTTCCTGAACAGCAGCCGTTGAGTGCTGGTATCATTGTCGAGTTGGGTGTATAAGTGCAGTTGACCGCTGAGCTCTGCCAGCTTCCTGGGTGTCGACCAGACCACTGCAGAGGAAGCAGAATCCCATGGCTCAACAGGGGTAGTTTGTTGACCATTATGGCATCGCTTTTGCCCCGACTGGTTGGTTTGGGTGTGGTGGGCTTAGCAGAAGGCTCAGGTAATACCATAGGGTTCATCAGGGGCTTAACCATCGCTACAGGGTGTAGACCAGTCCACTTCCAACCACTTCTGATGTTCGAGACTGATAGACCAGCAAGTCGAGGCCTTCTGGTAACAGTCCAGGAAGTTCCTTTTACCTATAATGGTAGAGTCGTTCCATTGAGACAAGTAACCGAGCTCCTTCCGATAGGCTGACTTAACAGGGCTGAAGACAGACTGGTCAAGTGGCTGGAGGACATGAGAGGAGTGTGGTGGTAAGAACAGTAAATGGATATTGTTAATATAGCAATTCCACATGAAGTCTGTCGTCGTATGACTCCCATGCCCATCCACAATCAACAGTCGAGCCTCGCCCTCAGCCTCGGGCATAGTCTGTGGGATAAACACCTTCTCTAACCATTCAATGGCAGTTAAGTCTGTAGTCCAGCCATTATCTGTTGCTGTAAACTCCCACCCATCGTATGGAACCAGATGTAATGGAAACCACTGTTGTTGGACCGTCTTCCCTTGAAAATGATAAGAGGACGAAGTGCCTACCCAAGGCTGAGATACACTCAATGATAGAGAGACCCTCGACCCAGGTTGTTTCTTGCGAACAGACGTCGTCTCAGCCATGCCCAGCACTAACCCATTAGCTCCTGACCCTCGAGGATGCCAGTCTCATCCATATTATATCTGTTGGCTGGTTTGATGTCCTTGATCTCAGGGATAGCAAGGAACAAACCAGTTCCTAATGACCTCAGTAGATGCCCCATTAACGCGTCTAGAATCGATGGAACGACTTCTCTGAACCTTAATGATAGGGTTCCTTCTCACGAAGGCATAGATCCAGCCTTTTCTAATGGTTTGGTATCCCCAGCAGCAGCAGCCAGAACTCGCTCTGCGAATTCCTTCACCTGTTGGTGCGTTGGTGCGAGGCCCAGCGAAGCCTGAATGCGAACCCATTGTGCCAGCTTACTCTCCTGGTCAGGAGACAGCCTCTGCCAGTCAGCAAAGCCACTTTCCTAGTCTGACCACCTTGGAGACGTAGTTGGAGGGTTGATCGTGGTATCCCATACTCCAATGAGGCTCTCTTTTGACTCTTGCCGTTTGAGATGTCCTCGAGAGCCTGACGAAGCTGATCTTCGGTATATTGAGGCATTAGATATAGAAGAAGGTATGTGCAAAAAATGAGCCCATTTGGACTCGAATTGAAAATGTTGTGATAAAAGGAGGTTGGGGGTGGGCATTGCGTTGTGGTGGATTTTCGCGTTTTTGTGGGTGCCAGAAACAGGGGGGTGCCGGGAAGTGGGGGGTTTGACTTACTGGGATCCGGATTCCCGAGGTTCATCTAGATGCCAAAACTTTCTTTCATCGCAAGTCGAGCGAGCAGATCTTGTGGAACCTCAAACAGTCCTGCGGTGCTTTTCGTCATCAACAAAATAGCAACGGAGATTCCGAAGTTCATCTAGACGTTCATCTAGACGATGAAACTTACTGTCGTCGTATGTCGAGCAGCTTTTGTGGGACCGGAGGTTGTCATGCGGTCCCTGTCAGCATACTTGGGCTCTCTCCACATGGTCGATGCAACCCCTGGACAACTGACTCTCATCAGTAGATCTTTTTGATACTTGCGAAGTTGCGAATCCTCTTGCACCGCCCCATGTTATCATCGCGACTCATCTACTCAAGCGAGGGTGAGGGCGGATACGGCTACAGATCTGTTAAACACTCCTCGCCCACTCCCGGCGCTGCTGACCCAAACGATTGTGTTCTTTCTTTGACATTCTCAACGCACTACCCTGCCAGCACGCCATCATGTCTTTGAAGTCTTTGAAGTCTCAATTACGAGGCCCCTCACTCGGCCTTTTCGCAGCCCTCTGCGTATGCCTCGTCTTGAACTTGGGCGCTCTCTTCTTCTCCTTCCGCGTCTTGACCCGTGGTTTACAGTCATACAGTACGTCAAATCCTCCTGTTGTTTTAGTAGTTTCTTTCTTATCCATGTAACTAACACATAATAGCCTACCTCGAAGGTGACCGACCACATGAGCTTCCTATCAAGGTCCGCACCATTCAGGCCGAATTCGTAGATGATCCTGAGCACTACGGGATGGAAGGCTTTGCTTCTACGGTCGAATGGAACGCAATCCGTCCCCCTGGAAAGGGTTTCGTCTTTCTAGGCCAAGAGCACTTTGCGTTTGGAGTGTCGATGTGGCATCAGATGCACTGCTTGAGCCACATTCGTGCCGTGCTCGTCAATGGAGACGACGGGTCTGACCACACGGAGCACTGCTTCCACTATTTGCGGCAGGGCATTCTTTGCGCTGCTGACACAACGATCGAGCCTGGTGGCACAAACAAGAAACTTCCCAATGGTGATAAAGTTGCTGCAGGCGATGGAGCTAAACACACCTGCCGGGACTGGAGACAGGTGCACGATTGGATGGCGGAGCAACATTCGAAATGGACGCCTGAAATGTTTGAGAGGATCAATGAGTCTAGTTTATAGAGATCTTGCTTGAAATGAGAACTCCATGTATAGCAACAGAAATTCTTCACTTGTTCACATCTTTCGCTTCAGTAACTCGTCTGGTCTGCATCTTCTGCTTCATTCCCTGCATGCGCTTCGTGTAATCGCTTCATGTAAGTGGGCGCGCACAGACTTAGGCAGAGCTGAACTCTAACGGGGTTGCATAGCAAACGTGACCAGGGTGTCACTGATTTGGACTAAGATCCCCAAGACGCCAGCCAAGTTGCGTTGTTTATTACTCTAACCCAAAGATTGTCACTCATCATCTAAATACTGATAGCATAGTGGCCCAGCCTCCGTGTCAAAAACCTGCCTCGGCGTCACGGGCACACTCTGTACATCAAATGGCATTTCGTAATCTGCGCTAGCTTTAACATCATATTGCGGGTCGCTCATATTGAACGAGTGAAAGGGTATGCCGGAGAAAGCGGCAAAATTGGCGGGGTGTCGGCGTTGCCACTGTAAAAGTCATCAACCCAGGTTAGTATATCTGATATGACAGTCGAATCAAGTAAGGTTTGGAAGGAGTACACACCTTGCTCCATAAACGGTCAAGCTGCGCATGATGCAACCAAAATAGAGGGTCATTAGGCGTGAAGGCGACGGCTAGGTCCTTGCAATCGTCCGCTGGTAGTTTCTTTGGGCAGTCCCCCGCCAAGTCACCGCCAACGAAGTTATGGACATGATTATGCATCTGCTCCATTGAGTGCTGGAAACTGTAAAAGTCGCCCGTGTGATGCTCAGTCGAGTTCCGCACAGAGTCTGGGCCCAGTGTGGAGTTCTGGGGCTTCTCATGATCGAACCACCCAGTGATGAGCGTCAAGTTCCTACGCAGTGGGTGCGGGATCGGCCAGGCAAGCTCGAACTGGGCAAAAGCGCCTGTAGTGACCTTGCAATCAGCCTCGGGCGAAGAACTACAGTCTCCAGTCCCGCCTAGCCCAAACTCGGGTGAATCTTCAAACACGGAAGAGCCGACCAGGTCCGCGTGATCACGCGACCAGTCCCAGTATGGCGTTGGACCACTGTACCCGCAGTTTTGGCGGAGAGACGCGTCGAACAGATAGAGGAACCAGCGGTCTGCGCAGGTGTCAATATAGAAGTGTTGAACAAAGGTTGAGAGGAGGCGGAACATACGCCACGGCAAAAAGTAGACATTCCTATGTGCGCTGTGCTCTACTGCTGCGTGTGAGTACGAGAAGTCATCGTATAGACTTCTCATTCCCTCGAGAACGGTTTGTTCCGGCGTGAATGACAATCGTTGGTGCCGTATGCTTCCGAGGCATTTCACAGCTCCCACCCAGCCAGATTTCTCTTCCTGGGTCAATGTTCGCCATTCTTTGCGTTCGAAGAGCTTGCCGCACTTTGTTGCCTGTCCGTGGCTGGGGGTAACTGAGAAAATGACAAGTGCAAAGAGAAACAGAATTGTTCGGCCCATGGCTCTAACAAGAATGTGGGTTTAGGTTCTTAGAGAAACGGCACGATAGACGCAGTCACACAGAATGGATGGCAGTTACAGGGTTAAATAAGCAGTTTGACTGTGTTGTTTGGATTATGTTCCACTTAAGCGCTGTTTCGGCCAATGAGAGAGTATCCTAAAGACTTATACTGCCATTCCGCTGGCCGACGCCAAGTTTTACCTCAATTAGTATTGCAAATGCTTTAGTACGCTGTGGCAGGACAAAATAGTTCACCAGTTCAATTATCATCACGTTGAATTCACTAGTATCACCACGGAGCGTCATCATTTCAATCGTAAACGTCTCTTCGCTCCGATGCAAGTTGCGTTGGCTACGGTGCCAGAAATTCGGCTCGGCAGAGAGTCTGACGTGGCCTGTCATCCGAGATACTTTCCATACCGGGCAACTTTCCATGGTCTTTGACTCGCCAGCAGCTCGCGGTAAGGCTGGTTGTACTAGAGGGAGGGATGCTTCCTGTCTCACTAGCCGAAGGTTTACTTCAAGTCACTACAGAGTGGGACACACGCCCCCCTTGTAGAACTCTAAACCTGAACAGAGATGATCCCAGTTACCATCCGAGGGACCGTGAATCGTGGTAATCCACACTTTTCGATTCAGACAATGCTCAGACGGTAGACCCCATCGCTTGGGGCCGGACGGCGGGCGCAGCCGTTGTGCTCTGATACCTGCGGCGACTTCTGATATTCGAGACTGGATGCAAAGTATCTGGCCCTGAGGGGGAATCGCAGCTACCGAGGAGGTTCAAGGGAAAGGACTTTCCCACTTATCACACCGTTCATCCACTTCTCAAGCTCATTCTGCTTTTATCAAAGCTGCATTTGGCAACAAGAATAATCTCTCCTGGCGCAAATTCACACCTAGCCGCAATCACAATGATGTACTCGTCAATTTTCCCTTCCCGCTCCCTTGCTCTCTTCCTCTGCATCATCTTTCCCTTCTACCTCGCCCTTCGCGGGTCTGGCTCATTGTCTGATGTCGCAATTTTCTTCTCCAAGCTCTCCTTACGCGCTGAAGCCCTTCACGTTGCGCTCAACGCCCCTCTAGACACCCCTCCACCATCCATTTCCAAAGCACCCGTCGGGACTTCCACGAGGCCTGCCAAGGTTGTACGCGCAACTGAAAGAGGAAAGAAGCTTCCCGAAGATTTGGCACACGCCATCAACTCCTTCGAGCAGTATGCGTCTCTCGCCCAGGGAGTGTTGCAGCGGAAGTATGCGCGGTACGACCGCCAGACGCCTGCCCAGAAGCTGATGAGCGACAAGCTCGGGTATCCTGCGCACTTTGAGAAGGCTACGGAAGGCATTGATGTAAACGCTCGTCTCTCGAAGCAGATTGCACAGATTTCAAGAAAGCATTACCAAACCGGTCCAGGACCGTTGACGGACGAAGATGATGCCGAGTTTGGTCTTGTGGACCTGACCTTTGGACACCTTTCGCGAGACTGGAGCACGTTTGGCGCCAAGGAGAGGGAAGCTACTTTCCCGCCCGTCATTGCTGGCCTGAAGAAACACTTTGGCGAGAATTCCAAGGGCAAGAAGGTTCTTGTACCTGGATGCGGTATGGGCAGGCTAGCAAGCGACATTGCTGATCTGGGTGCGTATCCTTTCCGCAGTTGACTTGTGGGCGTGAACTCAAGTTTTGACACATGGATGCAGGGTATGATGTTACGGCCAATGATCTCGACTTCAGCTCAATCTTGGCTCACCACCTTCTTACAAACCATACAACCTCACTGCATCAACATACTATTCATCCCTTTGTGACCAAATGGACCCATCAGTCCAACCCCACCTCGCGCTACACAGCCCTGACGGTGCCGGATCATATGCCGAACAAGGCTGTCAAGTTCATTGAGGGCGACTTCTTGGAGATGTTCCCAGAGGACGGCCAGTTCGACGCCGTTGCCTCATTGTTCTTCATTGACATTGGCAGCAACATCATTGATTTTCTGAGCAATATCCACCGGCTGCTGAAGCCTGGTGGCACTTGGGTCAATCTTGGACGTAAGTCATCACTCTTACTCCAGGGCTCTTCCATGAATTTTGATCTTTCTGTTTTTCTTGTAATCCAACCAGCAAATTCGGACTGACATGTGGCTACGTAGCACTAAAATACGGTACCCACACCGCCCTTCAGCTCTCCGCCGAGGAAGTGCTTCATCTGGCAGATCTGATTGGATTCGACGTGGACCTTTCATCACGGAAGAATATTGCCAGCCTATACGCTCAACAACCAGAATCATTGCTCAAGTTCACTTATGGTGAGTACCCTTTCATCTTCCTATGGGCGATGAAAACGATATCTAATAGGGGAGTCAGTGACACAATATTGGACGGCCACGAAGAGAGTCTAAACTAAAGGTGTTTCGTTGCTTACAGGATTAGAGCTATATGTAATGTCGTGTAGAATATACTTTTACATCTTGCCACATAGTGCAGCAGGCTTGTGTTATCTCACAGGACTCTTTCAAGGCGATGAAAGCTACTTGAGCGAGCTAGATTGCAAATAGACGTTCGGAAATATAACATTTTCAACCTTACAATTCCGCCTGGAAACACTTTGCCATATTGTCAATCATGAGTTTGAATGCTCGCTCGTTGTTTAGTAGCCTTAGCCCATAGAATGTAGAGTATAACGTCCTCACGATTTGCATCAGCTATTCTCCCTCAAGGGCTTCCATTACTGATTTTGCATGATTTCATCAAGGTCACTGTCGGCTTCCTCAGCGACTTGAAGTCATAATATTTGAGTCGACGGGCTTTTAGATAAAAGCCTTTCAAATGTGAGATAAATTGGATTGTAGACTTTAGACTGTTGCTTTCTGTTGCCGTTGAGTTTGTCTTAATTCGAGTATTCATATTCTGCTCGGATATTTGGCCATTTATCACTCACGTTGACGTTGTGATATTTGTCCTAAACGCCAGCGATTAAGTACTGACGTAATATACTAAGAATATTTTAATCTTACTAAAACGTAGATGCACATGCTCACAGCAGCCGGATTAGGGTGCGGTAACGACTTGGTGAACCGTAAAGTGATATGGGCTGTTGGGACAGCGCAGTCTCTTCTCAAAGGACCGTCAACCCCACGTGTTGAATTCGATTTACGCGATTTTCTTTTACTTTTCAGAGGATTGTGACGAGTTGAAATAGAACCTATTGAGACTGCAGCGAGATTGACCAATTGTGCGTAGTTCAGGGGGTGGTTATCAAGACTCTTGCCGGCAATCGTAGCGTTTGACCAAAAAGGGCTGCACATTTGATAGGGCCACTTTATATAGGTAATCGATTTCAACTCAGTCTCTTCATGTCCTACTTGTGCCGTTGGTTTTCAATTAAGTAAGTTGTAAGTTACAGGTGGAACTTATATCGTATGCGGACACGCTTGGCAACTGTAATGTCTCCCTACCGGGGCACGCTGACGAGACTCTATGGAACCTCTAAAGTATGTCTCTCTCTCATACATATTGCTTGGAGAAAGTATGTTGAGAAAGTGAGATCGAGGTGACCATCTAGATTGTCTGATATCCGCCATGGCAGGTGTGTCCCTCTGAATAAATCTGATCTTTCTCAGGGGACTAGGATACAACTCGTTGCAGTTTGTTTCATCAGCTAGGAGTTTACAGACTATTGTATGGAAGCTAGAAGCAGATTTTCTATCACAAACGGCAGATGGCGTCGTCTGTACCAGTGGGATACCGAAAAGAGAGGTAGGAAGGGCGTATGGGTATCAAATGGGTGGATAGTGCACGGCAGCGCAACGGAGTTGGGATCATGAACCACATGGCACGGTTACATTGACACGAAGCGTAGAGAGAGAATAAAGAATCTCCAGAAGATTAGATGACACGTCTATGAGATGAGATGAACAGACTTGTGAGATAAGGTATGAAGGGAGCCGGTGGGCTGTCAACAACTCGTCAAGTAATGTTACACAGCCACATCTTCGTCCAGGTTTAGCGCCACCTGCGCCACTGCGCTAACCACATTGTCGCTGCCTGGCGCGACGTCCGTTCCTAAGTGCTTACTGACTGTGCCGCAATCCACGACCTGCTTAAACACAGCGGTTTTCTCAGGTTTTTAAGCCATCGATGTTTCTTTTCTCTCTAGACCCATCAGTTGATTCATTCTTGAGCGAAGAAAGTTTCGGATTGAAGCAATTATGCCTCCCACGGAAAGGAAGAATAACCTCGATCTTTCGATACAGCTCCTTCACCCAGAAACGCCCCTTCACGGAGGCAGCGTCATTCTCGGCCACATCGTTCGCAAATCGCACATCGTCGCCGCCAACGCCACAGTTCGCGTCCGCCTCTTTGGCCGTGCGAAGGCAAAACTCGTCGTATCTCGCGGCAATAACCAAAAGAGCTACTACCGTTCCCGTTTCAACTTTTGGCCTGAGAACGCCGTCGGCGATGTAGTCCACCGCGGACCTGTCCACGTCGCGCCCGGAGCTGGGGGCCAACCTGTATCCTGGCCTTTTGCGCTCGCATTGCCGACGCATACGGATGCTAGGGCCGTGAATGCCTGTGGCGGGGAGAGTGCCAAGGAGGCGTGCTTCTTGCGCCCCAACGTCGGGAGTCATACCGGCCTAGGGCTACCCGAGCAACCGCTGCCGGGGACATTTCATTTCGACGGCTCTGGGTTCAACAAGAGCTGGCATGGTTTCGTCGAGTACTGGGTTGAGGCCGAGCTGACGGTGCATGGGAAAAGCACAGTCGTAAAGGCGGCGATGCCTGTCAGAGTTTTTTCGCCTCCGGTACCATCGCCAATGATCGGCGACTTTAGGCTGGAGAGGCGGAACAAGACTGGGTGCGTGAGCAGTCAGCGGTTGCTACCTGGAATGACTGACGCGGAGCTATCGTTCAAGCAAAAGACGCAGAAGTTCTTTGGCTCGTCCAAAGTTCCCACCTTCCACTACACCCTCGATGTGCAGTATCCCACGGTGATTCAGCTGGGAAACGAGGCGACCATCCCGTTCCTGCTTCATCTGACACCATCCAGGGATCGGACATCGGATATTATTGAGGATGTACCGCAGACGGTGACGATAGAGCAGATGGAGCTGGAGCTGCAGACGACAACGGGCATCATTTGCCCCGGAACTCTCGATCCTCACGACGCAAACAAGACGCGGAAACTCTGCTTGGCGCGATTGAAGCATCTCTTCCAAGCCCAAGATAGCACCATTGTTGTCCCCTCGGGTCCCAAGGAAGTTCCGCTAGACCTTGGTGCTGTCCTGGATCTGCGAGTTGACGCGCTGGGACGACTGCTTCTCGGACAAAGAAACGGTGCAGGCTCGTTTGGGCAGACGGTCGTGCCCACCTTTGTGACGTATTGCGTAAAGGTTGAGCACGTATTGCACTGGGAGGTGAAGCTGTCGGTGGCGGGCGAAAGCTGGAAGTGTGAGGGAAGTCAAAAGCTGCTTGTTCTGGCACCAGATGAGGATACGGCAAGTGGGAGGACGAGGGCATCTGCGGTAGCTTCGTCATCGAGTGCACCGCCGCCACCTGTTGAAGAGGTTCCTGCTTATGATGGGCCTAGCGAGGCAGCTCCAGCATATGAGAAGGTTGTGGGCGGTGGAGAAGAAGCGCCGGCCATTGGGGGAAAGTCTTGAACTTGGGATAAGACGCAGAAGAGGGAGAGGCTAAGAGGAGTTCATGGTTGAGAATCGGGGGATATGGAATACATGATACCCATGCAACGGCGGACTCAGTTGGAAGAGTCTATGTATCCTAGATCACGAAGATTGAGTATTATTGATGGCAGCACTGGATCCAACGCGGAAAACCTCAAGAGTTTGTGATATTTTGCTATCGGGTATCTGAGCTAAAACTAATAACGGCCTCGAGCCGTGAAATAACGATTCTGATTGCGAATAATCCTCGATAGATATGATAGCGGTGGGAGAGAGAAAGCGAATTGAGAAGTGGTTTGTGTCGCACTCGAACTCGTGTAAAGGATGTCAAGCTGGGATGGCCAGCTTGGAAGACTTGATCTGGTGCTATTACTCGATGGCTTTTTGGTATCCTCACGCCTGGAAGACTCGTGCCTCGAGTGCTGTACGGGTCCTCTGTCAGTAAACTTCTCCTCGACGCTTGGCTTCAGAAAACCAGAGTCAACTCACATCGCTCCTTCGCAGGTCTACAGCTTGAGCACACAGCCCGGTAACATCCGTCGATAATGTATCGTTCGGCACCGGGGTTGGTATCAGAGCACCAGTTCAAACAAGCTCCAAAGTCGGTCCCAAACGTGCCGCACTCTCCGGCCGTGACCGGCACGACAACAATAGCAGCGAAGAAAGATGCGGCGAGTGCGAACTTCATTGTGATTTGATTGAATTCAATAGTGCGAAGTTAAAAATCAAGCTTAATGGAAAGTACCGAGTTCTGGCAGAATCTGGGAAGAAAATAGCGAAAACGAAAGTTTTTGGCCGAGAAGGTTTGATTGACTGGGGAAAAGGGAAAGTATGTCTCTCTTTTGTAAAGATCTACATCGACGTTGCGCGGCTCTTATTTTCCAGTCGGCATCATTCGTGTTCATTATTAATCTCCCCGACACTTGCAAATACTCGGGCGGGTGGAGGACACACGTGAAGTTTCATCCCGGAATAGAACCGGAGCAGGCCGATCATTTGGAAACGACCTAGTCTCACGGGCACAGATCTGCAGTGCTCATTGATAGCTGAGATGAACGGCGCGCCAAGTGCTGCTTGACGTATCATGTGCATAGAAGTTGTTCCATTATACGCGGGGACTTAACGAGCGCCGTGGGCACACGAATCATTTCCTAGTGGGAACTCCTTCCCTTTCTGCTAGACTCGGGTGGCCAAGCTCCAGTTCGAGGGCCCAGGAGGCTGGTTAGACTGAACTTTAAACCTGAGTTGACAGGGAAGTTCGGATTCTGTAACGGGTTCGAGTCAGTTTCTGGTGCAAGACAATACGCCGCACGATGAGGAAGGCCTCATCGTGACCAGGGTTTCCGTCCGAGAGACCCGTCACGAATTAATATAATCTCCTTCGCGACTGATGATTAAGTTGCCAATGGAGCGAGAGAAAGAAGCGACATTGATATGATCAGTATTCGTTTTACGTGCTTGGGGCTCGAGAACTTTGGATTCTCTTTATGACTGAAGTACCTGTCGCAAAGTTCACTGACTTCCTGAAGCCCTAATATAGAGTCCTTCATAGGCTATGCATTAAGAACACATATATCAAGTCAGGTGTGCATGCCCAAAGCTGAGAAGCCTGGAAAATTGTTTCGTTTCGGAGAGACTACGGGGTTCAGCATTTGGCTGAGCGGACTTCTGGCAACACGCGCAATGAGTTGTTCACAATCCACAAGATGCTCTTTAGATGAATAGTCAAGTCCGATTAGTCAACTCCTCCGCATGGAACTGAGCTTGCTCAACACTATGTAAGGTACACAACATTGGCAGTAAATTTAAGCCTTTCCGATATTGATGCTCACCGTGTCCGCAAACCCTCCCTCCGGAGCATTCACAGTCCAGACCCTGCCTTCAGACATAATGTAATTGGTCAGGTACTTGATGCCAGCGCTAAAGATGCTGACCGCCTTCCTGTCATTGTTGTTGGTCAAGACAATGCCCTTGCAAGTGTAGGTCCACACGTTGCGACTCCCCTGGCGAACCCATCCGCCGACCATGTGGAAGGAAACAGTGACGCCCATGAGAAGAAGTGACTTGGGAGAAGCAACTCCATGAGGAATGGGTATGCCGTCAATGCGCTTCTCGAGGGCAATGGAGGAAGTGACTTCGTTGTTGGATCTGGCGACACTACCAGGATGTTAGACACGCAATTTGCAGGCAGAGTCACTTGGCTTACTTGATGGTCTCGGGAGCTTGAACTTCGGAGCTGATGATCTGGAGGGAGCCTTTGGCATCCTCATGCGCAGAAGGGTCATGCTCGACAGGAGGGACAGCCAATGCCGAGACGGCAGTAGCAAGACTCAATGCTGCGAGGAACTTCATGATTTTAATCTGAGCGAAGGAGTGTGAAGTTCAAATTTTAAGTGATGCGGATAAGTTGTGGGATACAAAGGTTTCAAGTCGGCGTCTCCCAGAGAGACTTATACCATTGGGGAGGGTGAGGCAAGTTCAATGATCACTTAGATGAACCTGCCAGATGGGCCATGGCAACTGGGAATCTCTTCGGCATCTCATTCGCATTGTTTGTAAAGTAACGGGAAATCAATAAGACAAGCTTTCAATAGGGGAAAGCCAATTCGCCTGATGTTGAAATTCAGGAAGAGTAACAGGTGTGTTTTAGTAACCTCCATGTCGATCAATTTGTCCAGCCAGCGAAGCCGAGATGACTGGACCGGAGACTTTCGCGATGTACTAGAGGGAAACCAAGGCTTAACTACCTTGATCGGTACCGAGCCATTGCGATTCAAGCTTGATAGTATCTTAATTCTCCTTGGTTTAAGTTTGACATAATATTCCATCTTCAATGAAGTTCGTTAAGATCAGGCGTGGTGAACTGCCGACATTTGGCGCGAGTCGCGTGCTCAGCTCCTCAAAAATTAAGTGCTGAGTTGCGAAGTCAATTCATGGAAATCTAAATTGCTCCAACGTTGCTGCGAACGACGAAAAGATGTTAACACAGATTGACAGAAACGACATGGTTTCAGGATTGAATGTCAGACAGTATCATCTTCGAGTAGAGAATAGACAAAATCCTTAACTCCTCTTTTTAAGGCTAATTAGGCCATTTTAGAAACTTCGCGAATCAAGAATCATTGATTTTATATGTCTGATAATTACGTTTCAGAGTATTATAGAGTAGGTACTAAGGTACAAACAGCACCACAATTGAGATTCAATGCGGTCGAATATTTATCTCTGAGCCAAATCCTTCAACCCCCAGTCAACTCGGGGTCTTTGAGAGCTCAAGAATTCCTTTGCAAAGCTCTATCGCTTGCAGAACCCGTGGCCAGACTTTCCAGTAATCTTAGGCTGGGTAGAGTCGATGACATCGTTGGCCACGGGGTAGTATCCATCTCGAGCCTGGGCCTCGCAGACGTGGTTCCAGTCATCACCATCAACGCGCTTGTGGGAGAACCACTTGCACTTTAGTCGCGAAATGTTAGCATTAGACCTCCCTACCGTCACAGTAGTGAATAAACTTACCCTGCCTTGACCGTGGTTGTAGTTGGCCTGTGATCGTGTTAGTCAATGATCGACACCACATTGGGAATTCGGTTTCCGAATAGATGCGTACCTCGCCCTCGTAGTTGTTCTTGCAGGCGTTGAAGGTGAGCTGCCAGTCGTAGGTCCAACCTCGACCGTTCCAGGTGCTGCAGGAGCACTCGTAGTGAGGGTCCGCGGCGACGCCAGGGGCGAAGAAAGCGCCGATAGCGGCGAAGAGAATGGTCGAGGCAGAGAACTTCATCTTGACAATTTGAATTAGGAGATGGAGATTTAATCGAAGGAGTAGATGGTTGTCAAGGATTGAAGCGATGATGGCAATGATGATGAGGTTGATGAGGAAGTGATGGCAGAAGCACGCCGGACAGTTGACCCTTTATGTACTTCAGGAGCAGTCATCTTGCGCGAGTATTGGATTATTCTTTCCTTGCCAATGAACATAACTTAGAGTAGCAAGAAGCCATGAAACTTGACTCTTCCCCGCTCGATAATCTCAACCGGCGTCTTACAAACACGCCGGTCGCGAGGGTGTCGACAACATCCAGTCATGGTCTCATCAGTGATCACCGCCGTCAATGTACTGAAATATCGCGACCCTCAGAAACACGAGATACGATTCTTTATTTTAGTTCACTAGTTTGGTTAGTATGATTGCAAAACTTTGATTGTTTGCTGTCTCCCGGTGGTCATCAGGAGAGAATGTCAAGACTTAGGTTTGAAGCTTATGAAGTTCTCGAGTCAAAGTACCTGATTCTACCCAGGCATCCCGACAGCCTAGTAACACACTGGTCTGGATCTGTAGAATATAGATCTAGCTACCAGGTAGAGTTGATCTCAGCCGTCCAATATCCTATGCCCATCCACCTCAATTCAGCTGTGGTCCAGAGCCTGATGAGTGGTTTGCCGGAGCTCAACATGTAGCCCCGCAGACACGGAGATTAACCAAGTTTCGTTCAAGCCTGGTCGCATTTCCTAACTTCGGAATGTTTGTAGGTATTGTGGGGAGGATCACTGCAGGTAAGTACTAATGCTATCAGGAGGCTGTCTCCCCCAGCGGTTTCGTAACACCTAGTGTCCGACGTAACGTACTTTACTCCAGCGATCATCAAGTCTGTCCAGAATCCGGCATTGGTCATGTTTGACCAATGTACCTTGTTTCCATACATGTATGAAGTATATGTCACTATTGCAAGGCGGTCGACGTATTTTTTGTAGTGCAAACAGTGACATGGAGAGATGGACGTTGGGAAAAGTGTTTTCGGCGCTCGGGACTCTAAACTTCTGAAGACAGGATGAGTAGTACAACTTGCCGTTCCTTGACTCCTGGGGGCACGTTCCAGATTGTCGGTACGAAAACACATCGTAATGAAATGCGGTCTTGGCATGCCTGGGCCCAGCGTCGCCACAAGTTAAGCTTCCAAGATGATGGAGTCAATCAAGCTAGACACCCAATTCAGCAAAAACTGCCCGCGTATGAAAACGTTCCCGGCATCCCACATGGACCATATGCCCTAACCTCTTTTGATCGCCACTCCCACTTCACTAATTGCGACTCGCAACTTCAATTGTAACTTGACATGTTCAATGTGACGGAGGTGAAGTACCTAGATGACATGGGATGCGGATTTATCGAAGTATATGGTCTTTCTCTCGGAGAAATGGACAATGAGGCTTCCGATTCTTCAAAATCAGGTTTTGAACGCCCTGTAAGCTGGAGAAGGATAGGATAGACTCTAGGTAGTCCAGCGCTCCAACCTTTCTTGATTCCAATCCGAAAACAGTCAAGTTGAAGGCCCGACTCACCATTGACATGCTCTATTGATTGACTGTTGAGACATAGTTCCAAAGGCCGACGTCTTGGATGAAACTCAAGAATCTGAATCCGACAGCCTTTTTACGTATCTGGCTCAAAGGAGTAAGCCTCTTGACTATCGCCTGTTCAATTAACACTTGTGAATCACCGATTGCCTCCGTTGGCGTTTTGTTACGGCATTGATGTCCCAGAGCACAATGGAAGTATGGCGCCAACAGGACGGCACCAAAGCCTTACGTAAGCAGCAGCATCAATGTCATCGAAAGGCGGCAGAACACCTGTCCGCGTCTTACCAAGAAGGCGGTGTCAAGCGAACAGACATTTTCTGAGAGTGTACTCTTAATACTCTAGGCCTCCTCGTGACCCACGACACAGACCAACATCCAGGGGAGCCATCGTGCAGCGCTAAGCTAGACGACTGGACAGCAGAAAATTGAACCAGCAATCAAATTAAGAAAAGAAGCGGTTCTGGTACAAAATAGTCACAAAATACGTCTCGACAAAAAGAAGTAAAGACCGAGCGTCAAAGCTTCTGTTGGTCCAGAGACTTCTCCGGAGATATTATATGTTGAGTAGGTACCGGATGGAACCTGGGACGATCCAGAAGAGTCAAGTACATAATCAACCGATGAAAAGAAAATAACCGAGAACCCCACGACGTACGGTACAGAGAAGTAAGGTCATGGAAAGTTGATGTGTAAGGATGGTTCGGGAACTGGTGGTACATGGGTGGCTCAATGATACTCGACCTTCATAATAAGGTACTACCAGCTACCCAAGAATCTACAGACCAGGAAATGCATGCCGGCTCAGGCTTTACTGCACATATACTCATTGAGCGATTACGCTGTACGTCTTGGTTGTTCCTACTCATCGATCGGAAAGGTCCATGTCGCGTTGAACGCAGCTAGAATTTGATTCTAAGCAAGGCTCTGTCATGTCAAAATTTCTGCTGATCCCAGACTAAGTACTGATGCATTAATCTAGAGACATGGAGGCATGAGAGAATGACTTTGTTCCGCAAACCGTGCCGGCTTTCAGCAACAGAACTGTGACCTCAATGGATCTTTTCAACTTTGAGGGGCCCGCTCTCTACAAGATGTGTGTACCAGTTTACATCCTTCGTTCCAGTAACATTTCGAGTCAAGATCTCGTCATTTGTGACAAAAGCCAGAGAGTCGATAGCCCTTGCAAAGCAGTGCTGATGACCCTTGCATCTGCCCCCCAATCAGCATTAGCCCCCGTTTTCTGATCCCGCACTGCCAGTCATTGTTGTTGGTGCAAGCACCCGAAAACCCACCTCGATCCTGGTATAGAAGAGAATCAGCCACTTACGTTGCTTCAACAAGCGTTCAACAGAGCAACCAACAACTGTTTGCGCCGCCAAGCTGCGGGGTTCATTCTGAACAGCACATACAATCATATGAGGAATATCTCTCAATAGACTGGCCCAGACTATTACTTCCGACATGGCTGAACCGGCACCGCACACAGCAAGCAGTCCAGCTGAGCCAGTCTCAGACCCCGCTGTGTCACCGGCACAAGGCGGAGTTTCAATCGTGGCAGCACCCTTGGAAGTAGATGATAACTCTAGCGTCAGTTGCCTGCAAAAGTGTCCGAGAACAATGAAACGTTCGAGCTTACTGTTGAAAGACAACCGATGATGCATCTACTATCGACGACCGAATGTAAAGATGTCAAATCCCCTACCCCGCTCCCGAATTACCGTCCGATAAGAGTGATCAGCTGATGAAGGACTCAATTTCTTCTAGCTCTTCATACACAGCCTCTTTGACATCAAGTGTTGTAGACTACCCGGAAGAGTATGGTCGAACATATCATGCTTTCCGGGCAGGATGTAAGTGAGAAATCGAGGATCAAATGTAGCCCGTCCAGCATAACTCACATAACATCCCGAAACAGCATACAACTTTCCAAACGATGAGGTACGAATGCCGCAAATCATACCAGTATACGGCCTTTCTAACATTAGTTGCATGTCAGAGAGAGATGGATCGTCTAGACTTGACGCATACCATGATTGTCAAGACCATCGGCAACAAGTTCTTCCTCGCCCCCATCAAGGCTGAGGTGACGCACCGCATCCTCGATGTAGGAACCGGTACCGGAATCTGTGGGTCATTTGTTGAGAAAGGCTCAATCTTGCATGCTCAATTTTAACCATGGCTGTTGTCTATTAGGGGCCATAGAGATTGCCGACTTGTTTCCAAACGCCGAGGTACATATACATCACTGTCAACCGCCAAGGCCAGAAAAATCTGACTTAGAGACTACGTTAGATCTTTGGGAACGATCTGAGCCCGATACAACCAGCTTGGTGAGGAACTGGCCACCGGAGATAGGCTGTTAATAGCTAATTTAGAACCAGGGTGCCGCCGAACGTCAGATTCGAGATTGACGATGTCGAAAGCGCTTGGGTTGTCAACGAGAAATACGACTTTATTTTCACGCGATACATGGCTGCTTCAATCGCAGATTGGCCGAAGCTGGTCCATAGAGTATATGAGTGGGTTTGAGACCTCCGATTGCGAGGGACTATTAGCCACAGAGTGGATCGTGTCCCATTCCATAGTAAAGTTGAACTGACGTGGTCTTGCGCTAGGAATCTCGCGCCAAATGGCTGGGCTGAATTCCAAGACATGAGCGTGCTCTACGCGTGCGATGACGGAACACTGACCGAGAAGCATGCAATCATGACGTGGGACCGCCTTTTCATCGAAGCTTGCAAAATGCTGGGGCGTGAAGACTCCCCTGGCCCCAAACTCGAGGGTTGGGTTCGTGAAGCTCCCTTCAAGAATGTGGTTCACCAACACTTCAAGATCCCTCTAGGTCCATGGGCCAAGGACGCGCACAACAAGGATCTTGGAATGTGCAATCTTGCTCAAACTCTGGAGGGCCTCGATGCATTCACCTTGAAGCTGTTCATTGGTGTGCTTGGATGGACTAGGGAAGAGGTGGTGGTGCTCTTAGCCCAGGTTCGCCAAGAATTGAAGAGTGGTACTTTCCACGCATACCTTAACTAGTAAGCTGGATTTACCGAAAGAATTAATGACTTTACTGACGGAATATAAGCCACGTTGTTTACGGACAGAAGATTGAAGAGGAAGAGGAAGCAGCTGAGGAGGACTAAGCTGAAGCATCAATGGTATTGTCATGTCGGCATGAGACACGCGGCAAAGGTAGATGGAGTGAGGTGGACTGTAACCGATATAATCAGTAGGTTAAAGGTAGTGAATTCTCGTCTGATAGTAATTAGAAGACAAGTAGAAAAGCTGAGAATCCTTGTGCGAGCCCGATAAAAGAAATACTGCATCATTCAACCGACAATTAAAGAGTTCAGGTTGCTCGCAGCCCGCGACGCCAAACACCGTGTGAAAAATGGACCGATAAACACATGACCTCTAACATCACAAGCCCAACTTCAACCGCCTGGTACACCCGCGCGGATGTTGTCGTACTGACTGTTGGGGTAGCTCAGCTGATTGAGACTCTGGTCCTGGGTGCTCGCACCACCGAGGGCATTGAAGCTAGTCGCCAGAAGACTTCCACTGTCAGTTCTGTCGCCGCTAGCCTCCCAGAACATGGAACCACCGAGGCCCTTGCCTGTCAGGTACGAGACCTTGGTCCGCACAACGGCGGGGGTGTCATAAGAGATAAGCTCTTTGGCGGCCGAATCGTAGCTGTAGGAGGCAACTGCCGTGGCATCATAAAGCTCGGTGGCGCCCGCTCGAGGAAGAGCCTTGTAGTCCCACACTCCGTTCTCCCAGGAACCGCTACCGATGCCAGTGAACGGCTGGCCGATGCCATTGGTCTGTTCGAACGAGCGACCGTAAATGGGCATGCCGAGAACGATCTTCGCGGCTGGTACGCCGGCTGCGAGGTAATCGTTGACGGCGGCATCGGTGGAGAAGGGCGTCGAAGATGGGTTGCTCGGGTTCGGGTACAAGTTCGCCTGGTGGCCGCTATTTGCATCCCAGGAACCGGCATAATCGTACGCCATCAAGTTGAAAGCATCAATAACATCAGAGATTGCTTTGAGGTTCAAGACGTTGTAGTGACTAGGGCCAGCGGGTGAAGCAATAGTCAACAGATAGTGATAGCCGGGAGTGTACTGGGCGGCGTAGGAGTCCAGCTCGCTTCTGACTGCTTGAAGCAGGAGGACCATGTTGGCTGCTTCGCTGGCGTCGGCTGGATATTCCCAGTCAATATCGATGCCGTCAAAGCCCCAGTCTTTCATGAGTTTGACAGAGGATTGAGCAAAGAGGGTTCGGCCATCGGGCGTGCTGGCGGCAGCAGGGAAGTTGGTCGACCATGTCCAACCTCCAATGCTGAGCATGACTTTCATTCGGCGGTTTGCCTTCTTCAAAAGGTAAAGCTGTTTTACGCATCCGTAGGCGTTGGTGCCGACATCGTTCCAAGCTAGGGTCCCAATGAGTCAGCATGTGTCGGTGTTATATCAACCACGAACAATAAGCCTTACAATCAGTAGGATAGTGCTTCTCCAGATCGGCGTAGGTGTCGGCGGTGTAACTTTGAGTGGGTTGGAATGTTAGCTCGCCTGTTCCTGCGCTAGTCATCTAGGTCGAGCTGTGTATTGACTTACACTTCACCAGTCGCGCGAAGATTCATGAAGGCGTAAAGGACATTGGTGATCTGCGATGCTGGAAGATTCTGGGGCTGGTAATTGCGGCCGTATATCGCCCTTGAATGAGATTAGCTGAGCTCTACTACATTGGATCTAACAATAACTTGCCAATTAGTGAAGTAGACTGCATTTGTGTAGCCTTGGAGACCTCGCTCCGTGATGTTCGTCGGCGCTGCCGTGGAGGGGCGCACAGCTGTTGAAAGTATGCCACCCATAGTGATTAATGATTGAAGAAGCTTCATCTTGAAAGCGGTATGAATTGATCCGTTAAATAATTTGCTAAAGGAGTGAATACGAGAATGTCTCTGCAAGTCAGGTACACGTCACTGGACATGAGGCGATCAACTGATCATATTATACTAAACGAGTCCGTCGATGTTAGACAAGACGCTATCTACAGTAGTCAGCCGTCAAGCAACAATACCATTGTTCAAGTCCTGACATCCAGTCGTCTGGGTGTGACTTGCAAACCCGGTCCATTCCCAGCGAAACGTTACGCGTCTTCAAATGAGGTCGTCAATTTTTACTAGGCCTGTAGACCCCTTGGATCCGCTTCTGCGATTCAGTCTTGGTATGTCGGTCTGTGCATGTGCAAAAATTCGAGCGCGTCGTCTGTTTGTCACGTTCAAGTGGTAGCAATGAAGTTGACGATGACCTGCGAGCCTGGCCGCTCAATGTACCATTAACACACCATAGTCTCTTGTACCCACCCAGAGTACTGGTTGCAAGTAACAGCTCGGAGATTCGCTGTGAAATTCTATGTGTCAAGGGAGCGCCAACACCAAAGGTGAGGATTTGGCGATGGTGCCCGGTGAGTGGCTGGGAGCAAGGTCAGGGGCCGGGGCTAATGCAGGTGGTAGCCGACTTTCCTCTGTTAGCACAACGAGAAAAGTCATTGAGATTGGCTGAGTTCTGATATTCTTCAGGACCTACCCTTGGATGGCCATGTGCCTACAATTTGGCGAATGTAGGGCGAATGACCGAGTCGGGGCCGAATGTGACCCTCCACTGCGTGGGCTTATCGCCCGTTTGGGACAGGCCCAGTGTGAGCACATGCTTCCTTTCTGGCGAATCCCCCAAAAGCTATGGTTTTCTTATCGCGGTAAGGGAGTTATAGGAGAGACTTGTGACGTGTTTCTGCCAACTATCAATTCCATTGAGTGGGTGTTGTCTTTGATAACTCGAGCCAACTTGCACTGCCGAGACAAATGAACAAGACAGGCTGTCAAAAGAGAGACCAACCCGCAACAGAAACAGCCAAACTCGGTTCAGAGTTACCCCGTCCCCAGCACCATATCGAAAGAAATCCTACGGAACTCACTATTCCCTTCTGGAAGGTGAAAGTGTGATAAGACGGCAGCGGCACATCACCCGCTCCGCCCTTTCGTCAAAAGCGGCTACATCAGGGGCACCTTATTAATACTAAAACCATCTGAGCAGCTGCCATCTGATGTCTTGCATATTGTAGAGTGGTATCGGCGGTTGACCCCGAGGCTTTCTATGCCATCTGCAATGTCCATGAGGCTCTCTCCAAGTGATATATGATCTGCAACGTTGCAAATGGAAACCGAAGCAGCGGGTGCTCAAGATTAGGATCTACAAGGAGGAACGAACCACCACTCGACACCAGGATGATACTCGAGATCTAGGCAACCAGCAACTACCGCGACGTTGTGAACGTTTACTACCTCCCGAGTCGCTATCTGGCAATCAACTTGCCACATCTCGTGACTACCTTAGTCATGAAAGGAAACCGGTTCGGTCCGCACGTTAGTTTGGTTCGCAACTGACGTTGACCTCCGGCCTTCGGCAGTATATATCGTCGAAGGATCAGAGTGAGGAGGCAGAAGCGCAATGAGTTTATTGTTTCAGCGATTGAATCCTTTGCTGCGATGCACAGGCAAATTGATTGTTGCATTACATTCGTTTGGCAAACGCTACTCTCTCACTTGGCAGTTCCCCCAGTTCCAGTAGCACGTTGCTCTGCAGCTGCATTTGTTACAGAAGGATCTCGAGTCACTGTAGCTGGAGGATGTTGAGGACGCGAGGCTTCTGCAGCCAAGTTGCCCTCATTTCCATCGGCGGCCCCGATCTGTGTCTCACCGCCGGGTTCCACGTCGGCTTGCTTTTCAGCCAGCTCTTTCTGAGCCTTTCTGATGCGACGGCCTCGTCTAATGGCCCAGATAGACAGACCCATGACCATGGTGCAGAAGACACCAACACTGAGGCCGATGGCTAAGTTTGCCTCTAGCGGGAGATGTCCGGGGTAATAGCCATCGCCTAGGTAGGTTGTACCACCGTCATAAGATCCGCCTCCGGAGCCCGAACCCGAATCACCTGTTCGACATTGAGACGAAGTAGATGAGCACCAATCCGGCATTACGCTCGTCGACGCGGGGATCTCAGCTCCGTAGCTTGAGAACGGAACCACGTCTTCCGTCTGGGTGCTGCCAAACTTCGCCCTCGCAAAACCAATCTCTTCATTGACTAGGTCAAATACCATGTAGGAATGTTTGAGGAATGTGTTGCCCAAGGAGTAAGGATAGGAAGAAGACGTGTATGTCGAGGTGGAGTTCTCCGACTGTACTCCAAACAGGCAGTACTCGGAGGCCGACTCGGTCTCCCAAGACCACTCCGAATGGGACCAAACATCTTGAGACACCACGAGGTCGGCAAGAGCTACATTCAACACAGGTCCCTCTGATCCGTACAGCTGCACAGCCAAGCGACCCGTGGTGGTGTTTTCCGTGCAAGGTATAATCGCGTAGCCGAGGTCATCATTCCAGGAAGCGCCAGCCAGAGCCCAAAGATCTAAGGCTATGTCGTCGGGTAGCACTGACAAAGCAGCATCTGGCGAGAGAAGCACCAGGTTTGAGGTGTCATATGTGTCGGTTTGTTGACGCAAAGATTCTCCGAGAGGCTGTAGGTCATCTGTATCTGACTTACTACCATTGAAGGACGTGATGAAGGTGTCAAATCGCCTGCTTGCTGACCATGACCCCGTCGTGCGTACTGAGAAACGAACCAGAGGGCCTTCAAACTTTGATGTATCGATTGCGCCCAGCAAAAGATTCCCAGACTTGGCAGATGCATCGTCCAGCCAGAGACTGTACGCGGGGGAGCTAATGAGACCATCTTGTACCAGGCGTTCAGCAACGGTAGGATAGTTCGAGGTACTGCTCGGGCTCGCGGTGGATTGTGCGCTTCCGGTGGTGTTGAAGCCCAGGCCAAGAACACCGATCAGTACATCTGCCGATTGAACATAGCCCATGATCATCTTGGATATCTGGCTGCCAGCCACGCCCAGTGTGTCGCTAATCCATTCTCCCTTAGCTCGGCCGACCGAGTACCTGGTGCTGAAGTCCTCGGTGCCGGGGTTGACGTAGGTGGATGACTCGTTGCTCTGGAATGCACCGTATTTGCACGAATATGAATCGAGGTAATAGGCGCTCCTGGTGGAGGAAGAATCGTAATAGTCGCTATAGTTGTAGTAGTCGCAATACTTGGCGTTTGGGACCCAGGTGTGCTCAGCCTGCACAGAAACTCTCAAGGAAATATCTTGTGGCGGTGTACCGACAGTGGCGTTGACCAGATAATTCCAGTCCGTCACGTAAAGATCCATCGCAGAGACTGATCGACGGTCCGCCACGTCCTTGGTTTCGACATTGCTACTGGCCTTCGGCTGAGGTTGATGGGAGAACGGTAGATGAACTTGCGCTAGGGCAGTGACAGCGCAGCCACTGAGCGCGAAAAGAGCGGACGTCCTCATGACGATGAAGGACAGAAAACGAATGACGGCGATGGAAGGCGCATGGTGGAAAAGAAGGGAAAAGGGAGAACAAAAGGCGAAGGGTGATAAAGGCTCAAATTGTGAGCCGATGCGACGAGAATTTCGGGCTAATGCAAAGCCAAGCGGCACAGTATCTTTCAAATAGGCAGCAGAGCAGTAGCTCAACCAACACGAAGGAATACGATGCTGTAGACAGGGGTTTAGCGACATTACGAGATGGAGTTCCACCGCTTGAATTGGGTTAGGTGATCTAGAATTCACGAACTAGCTCTAGCTAAAATTCAAGCTTCTTTCTCCAAGCCACCATCAATGGGCACCGGCGGTTGGTTCTCAGTTCTCCAAGGTTAGACTTTCTCAAGGTCCCGTCTTCGCCTAAGCCGGCGCGGTGAGAAGCACCTTTAACTCTCCGAAGGCTTTGAGTATGCTCTCCGATTCTCCCTCCCACTTTTTCCGCGACTCTTCCCCGATCTCTCCGTGGCCCATGGCAGCCACCAGATCCGGTCCGGCCCCACCCGCAAAAGCAAGCGCCGGTCGCGTCGGCGCAACCCGGAGTTTCATGCCCTCCAGCGTCTTCTGCGCCTGCGCTGACGCCGAGTTGCCACCCATGATGCCGTAGCTGACTACAGCAATGGGTTTGCCGATCCACTCGTTATACAAGTAGTCAATGGCATTCTTGGTGCCGCCAGACAGGCCGTAGTTGTATTCGGGCACCACAATGATGTAGGCATCGTACTCGGCGATTTCCCTGCTCCACGCTTTGCTGTGCTCGTGGGCGAAGTCACCTGCAGCTGGGACCTGAGCGGGAATGATCTGTTCATCGAAGACGGGAAGTCTGAAAGAAGCGACTTCTACAAGATGCAGATCGATGCCATTGGTGGTAGCATCTGTGGTGATGGTATCTTTCACCAGTTCCGCGACCTTAGTTCCAATGCGTGGGGTTCGAGTACTCGTCGCGATGACGGCAACCTTCTTAGCGGCACTCATATCGGTAGATTGAATGGTTGGAGCTCAAATTGTCTGCGGCTGGACTGAATATCGCAAAGGTTCAACAACGCCTATGTCAGGTTGAAGCTTGATGGAGATTCTAAGTACTCGAAAGTAAGAGTTGCTACATGTTGGCTAACCGGTCTTTTTATAGCAATATGAACAGCCAACGCCGTGTGCACCTAAATTGTGTTACTCGCTTCTGTCTCCATGTCTTGCAGCTTCAGCTCTCACGCCGCTGATTCATAATCAACTCAAGTAGTTCTGTCCCAGTCACGCCTGACCACGTCAGAGAGATAACCATTGTCTGTCTTCTCGACTTGTCAGAAGCACGCCAGACCCGCGCGCATCGATCGCGAGAGGCGTCTTGAAGTCAGACAGATGCGCAGCCAAAGACTAGATGTGCATATTACCGCTCTCATGACAGCCTATGAGAGGTATCTCCTCGTATCAACTTCGCGTGGTTTCTTTGGTGCTTACACCCGCGCGCAGATGCTCACGTTCTTTCGTCCCAACTTGGGGAAAGGCGAAACGAGTCGCGCGCGGGGAACGGTAAGACGTAGCGACCCGCGCGGAGGTTAGTCATCCACACAAAGGTGCGTCAACGAATGATAGAGTTTCCCCCGTACAAAGTTTCGACGAACCACCTCCACCATCTCCAACAACTCGGTCGGTGCATCGTGAGACTCAAATTAGCGGTGTGCCTTAGTCGCCCTGCACTGACCCGCCAACATCTGTGGACCACCAACCATGATCTGGTTATCCCTGCCTCGGTGGCTCAGTGGTAAAGCGTCTCACTCGTACTGTTGTCCGTCATGAGAAGATCGGGCGTTCGATTCGCCCTCGAGGCACCATTGCTTTTGGCCTTTTTGTATCTCCGCCTTGAGAATGATCTACTTCGTACGGGAGGAGAGGATATTGAAAGTTGCGACATCAATCGAAACTGTCACTCCAAATAACGGTTATCGTTTGCTCAGATGCGCCACTTTACTTATTTTCGGAAGTATCCTTTGCAGGACAGATCTCATGTGGTTACAAAGATAGATGCGCGGAAATGGTATGACGTTTCGGACATCTCAGAAGAGTCGTTGTTTAGAAATCCCAATTCTCGACGAAGAATGGAGCTTGGTATGTACATTAAAATCGCTGACGCTATGGTGTCGACAAGATAGCGAGACAGATGCCTTCGTCAATGCGCTTCATAAGGCAGCTCATGCAAATTGTCATAAGATCCGCTCCTGCGCACGACTTTTCCTTCCCAGTCGTATTTTGCTGAGCTTGTTCATGCTGGACAGTACAAAGATCCAGAGCAGCATGAAACAGCGGCATCTCGGCCTGAGTTGGGTGTGCACTAGATACAAGTCAGCTATAAGCCAGAACGCAGGGCTCTTCTACAGTGAACACTTACCTTTGACTTGCAGATCGCCCATGGATCAGCGTAATTGATTCTGCACTACAACGAGTTGGAATATCAACACCTAATCTTCCCAATACCTGGGGATCACCCAAAATTTAGTGACAAGCGGGTAATCTTACGTCTTCAAAATTGCAGTCTGAGGGAGGGCCAGTGCAGAATTGCGCAGAAACACCTTGGAAGATGACAGCGGCTGCAAGGAAGAGAGTTGTGGGTTGGAAGTGCATTATAAATCTGTACTCGAAAAGATTCTTGGTGCAAGAGAATGAGTTCGATAGTTCGGTGTCGAAACTTTCGTGATTGAGAAGTGTGATTGATGTGATTAATCAGGTCATAATATCAATTATTGATGTTGTAGAACGACTTGTACTTATATCATTTACAATTGACTCAGCCTAGGCAGTTCGTACAGAGTCAAGAGAGATCCACGTCGTAAAAGAAAGTTTTCGAAATGATGTCTCAAGGTAAGAAAAGATGCAGTATACGGATACTGGATTTGTCGTGGATAGAGTAAAGGACGTACCTGCGGAACCAAGCAATAGCAATTCGTGTGCATACTAATGGCTATACTCCGTATCTCCTATTTCAAATGCCGGTGCGGATAGCTCCATTTCTTAGTTGCTAGTGAGCTTCCATACAGTGCAATTGAGTTCGCTATTGATATACATGAGACGAGACCCGCCTACTTTGTAGTTGGTTCTGACTCGCTCTCGGCTCAGATGATGGAGTTTGCAACGGAATGCTGGTTTCTTCATACAGCTTTACAGCATTTCTTGAGCTCCGGCCAACTTAAGTCCCGGGAGCCGGAACGGGATGTGGCATACTGAGGGGAGACAATGACTCCTGAAGACATTGAGGCGGGTTCAACCGCGAAGTCCGCTTGTATTCGTGAGTGATGTGGGGGCAGTCCTCCAAACCGTCCATAATCCCAAGGCTCCGAGTAACTCGGAATCGATTCGACATGCGTTACCAGCCATGTGGCTTGTAGGAAACCGTACAATAGGTGCCTAAGTTGCGCTTCAATTGGTGAGAGACCATGTCTAGTAGGTTTGTATATTCTCACGTAGATGGAAGTATAGCAAAAGCACTCGTTGAGCGAGAAGTGGAGTAGCAGTAGTTAGGTATCTTCCCGGGTTTTAGAGAGTCTCGATTTCTACCTAATTACATTTAAATGCAATGCATCGCATATCCTTTTCTCAATCAGAGTTACAGCAGTTTGAAGTGACTTTGCAATTGTGCACTTGATTAAGTATGCAGTGCAGTCAATTGTCGGACTTGATTTCGTCTTGCCGCGGATGCTTCCCATCAGCTCATCAATCGTTCAAATTCAGAGTGCGTGCACTCGCTGCGCTACTCCACCCCGCTGGGCGAATCGATGACATGATCTGACAGGGACGTGCCGGGCCTCATCGCCGACAACCGCAACTGAACGGGAGTATTTTTGTCCATGGCACCACTCCTTGCTAACCAGAACCAAGACCAATGACGGATCGCGACCAGGACCCTTGCTGAATCAACTTCTCAATTCTCTCTTGTGACATTGTCAGCAATGAAGACCGTTGCGGTGTGGCTTGCAAGGGGTCTTGCCTTGGCCAGTCCAACTGGCACCAACCAAGGACTGAGAGACCAGGGAATATGACGTCACAAAATAGTCGCCCCTCGCCAAGAGCGCGATGGCATCGAATGAGGTCAATGATTGAGATGGGTGAGAGAGCCGTCAGCAAGAAGGAATCCTGCTTGTCAGGCCTCTCCGCTAAACAAGTTCTTCTGTTCATTGCAACATCAACCATTTACTTGGACAGTCGAGTTTCGAAAGATTGTCAAATATATCTGCAAAGCCGGCACCTCCATCGGCTGCATCCGATCCCGATTTCTGTGCATCAAATCACACAAGGATCATCCTCCACGAACCACTACTCTCTTTCACGTTAGACAAGGGGCCTTTTCTGTACCTGTAGCACCATGAGACGAACGAGTCGCATATTGCTAGCTTCGCTGGCCCTCCACTCTACAACCTTCGCACAGTCTGACCTGCCCTCAAAACGTGGGCTGGCTTTCCAGGGCGACGACCACTCAGCCGACAGCCAACTGCTCACCTCTGCAAAGTCGTTGATCAGCTGGTATTACACATGGTCAACATGGCCTGCACAGGCCCTTAACAGCTCCATCGCATTCATCCCGCTCATCCACGGCGTTGACGATGCTTCAGATTCAGGCCTCAGCTCACGTCTCAACGCGCTACCTGAATCATCTACCCATCTCCTTTCAGATTCAGGCCTCAGCTCACGTCTCAACGCGCTACCTGAATCATCTACCCATCTCCTTACTTTCAATGAGCCCGACGGAACGACATCATCTGGCGGTAGCAGCATCGACCCAGAAGATGCCGCAAAAGCCTACATCGAGCATATTGTACCCTTCCGCAATTCCCGCTCCCGGAAGTGGAACATCAGCCACCCGGTCGTCACCGGCTCTCCGCAGGGCATCGAGTGGTTGCAAAAGTTCAACGAGTCATGCTACGATATTGACGACAACGGCTGCCCGACCGACTTCGTCGCCGTGCACTGGTACGGCGACGCGACCGGCCTCAAGAACCACCTTGACGGGCTGCGGGATTTCTACAACTCCACATCGCCGGATCTCAAGTACTGGATCACGGAGATGGCCCTCCCTAAACAAAGCACGGATGCAACACTCGCCATGATGAACGAGAGTCTGACGTATTTGGATGGGCTGGACTATGTTGAAGGCTACGCCTGGTTCGGTGCCTTCCGTAAGGACGAGGCCAATGCCTGGACCGGTAACTCCGTGTCGCTGTTTGACGGCGACGGCGGGCTGACAGACCTCGGTGCGTTGTATCTCGGCGGAGACGAACAAGGGTTTGAAAAGGGCCAGAAGGGCGAAGGCAACTTTGCCGGCTCGTTGTCTCCCACAAGGGCGCTGCTCTGGACGACTATCCTTACCGCTGTCGCGACGATGTGGTAGACATTTTAGGACCAACAAACGTCGAGCAGATTATTTTGCTTGAATGTTGTTGTGCACGACGACATGTTTACGATTTATTTGTGCATCTACGTACGGATGAGTGTGCAGGTCACACAAACATAGTACATTTATAGCGAGATTGATACCTATTTCATTAGATTACTCAACTCATACAACAGACTAGAAACCTACAATCAAGACATCCAATATAGGGAACACTCAGAAGCGAACTCAAATTTTGAAACATACTTTGGAGACTGTAATTCTATCAACGAACAAATTCAGTGGTTTTTCAATGAGGTAATCGACAGTCTCTAATCCTTATTCACTGGGGCAGCTCGTGTCGAACATGATGCTGATTAGGTAGCTCGGGAGACACCGCGTGGGCATAACCCCAATTGGGCTGTGAATTCGAACCATCGGTCTTTGAGACGTCGTTCTCAGTCATCTGTGATGTTTGCTTGGTATTCGCCGTCTTCTTCTTCTCGCGCAATAGCATCACCGCCAGTGCTCCAGCAATAATTGCAAGAGGCACACCGACGCCAACGCCAATGCCCGCCGCGGCGCCTGGAGAAATGCTGCCTTGGCTGTCTGTATGGCTGCCCGCAGGGCATGTAACAGTGCTGTTTCCAGTTGTCGATGTAGCCGCGGGACCGTCTCCAAGATCCGTGCTTGCCGCTTCGTTTAACAAAATCTTGCCGGGAAGACTGACGGTGAAGTTGCCGGTCGCGCAATTCTGTAGGTTGCTACATGAGAATCGTGCGTTACCACAAGTCCAGACGCCTATATGAAGCGAACTATCTATGAGGCATGATTCCATATATCAGTAATTGTTCTCATGAATGGTTTTGCCTAGTAGTTGTCGATCGAAGCCACACTCACCGCCTCCAGGTATGTCGCTCTTGTCGCAGTACTTGGGACACCCGCTTGACTGGAAAGTATCGTCGGTGCAAGCCCCACGATACATGGTCAACGTCAAAGGTTCGAAGCAAAGACCATTTGTCAGGCAATAATGGTCTTCGAAACAGCATGCGGCTGCTTCGGTGCCTGCGGCAACAGGGCAAGGTTTGACGACATCGTTCGGGACCCCATTAGGCCAGTAACAGGTTTGGCCAGTTGCTAAAGTTGCCACCAGAGAGATTATAACATAGAATCTGAGTTCCATTTCGCTCGGAATATCAAATACTCAAGGTACGCTGCATTTGTATCAATCACCTGTGAATGGATGGGTTGAGCTTGACGACGAGACATCACCTCGAGATATAGATGAGAATTCTAAGACGTAGTGACGTCCGAGGGAACCTCTTCAAGCTTCTATGGCTCCTGATTCCTCTCCGATCAATATTTCCTGTCCGAGACCTAAAAGTTTGCGTGTATGGCCTCAGGTTCGGGGATCCCACATGTGTGTTGAACAGAAGCCTGGTAATTGTTGTTTTAGAAGCGTCATGGACTAGCTGCGCCCCCTCCGACATGCATTATCCAGAAACCTGATCAATCATGAGCTGCTAGGTATTTCTGAGTAAGCTCAAGTAGCCCACTAGGCTCGACTACTAATCTGCGTACGGTGATACGAGCTCCAAAGCCAAGTGATAAGCTGCCCTCCTCGAATCCTCCTTTTTTGCCAAGATGTGATGATCTGGGAAAGAATGGTCGTCATTGCAGGCCATGGATTGCATGCTTAGGCACAAATTAGTGCTTACCTCATGGCCGTGAATGGGAGAAACCCGAGAGCTTGGAGACAGAGTTGGCACCGATTTCATGTCGGTGCGAACTGATATTAGGTGCCCAGTGCATATGAGCAGATCCAGATATCAGATGCAACGTCTCGCATGCCAGCATTGTTGGGGAATACAAGCTTAGCAATGGATCGTAAAAGATTTTAGAGGCTAGAGATCTACGGTAAGTTGCGATCCTATTGAGCGCAATGTTCATGTGAACCATGATTACTCAGGACACGTACGCCCAACATGGTCCAAGGAATGGAGAGTTGCGTCGACTCAGGCTGCTATCCAATCAACAGCATCGAAAGCAAGTGAGAGAGTTTGCAATCTATGACTATTTTATTCTCAATTAAGTCGTTCGAAGAGAATTCCCAACTTTTGACACATTGTTCATATATTTCGTCTCTATTCGTATGCAAACGCTGGCTGTGAAGGCATATATAGGTAGCATGTTCCGCCGGCACCGCCGGACTTGGCAACAACGCGCGCTTGGTGGACGGTGTTTGGAACAGCTGCAAACCGCAGTTGGGTGCTGTTGGAAAGCATATGGCTAGTTGCTGCGACTATATCTCATTAAAATCGGTTCCTTCTGAGAGAACAAGGTTAACGCTACCAGAGCTTGGACGAACCACGGGAATTTCCTCGTGGATTCTAGCTTGCGGCACGGACAGTGTCCAAATTAGAGGCGGGCCACCCCGTGTGCCGAGAGTTCCACCATCAGGCGGCAATGTCCGAATCACGGAATGGTTTTGGCGCATTTTACAGCCAAGACACCGCTGAAGCTTAATAAATCATGCCGAACTCAGTTGATCGTTCCTAGTCATGGACTAAAGGACTTGAGGACTTTTCCTTAGTCTGGCCAATCTAAGCCATGAATACTTACTTACTTCATACTGTGAGAGCTCGGTACCCGAATGTTTCCCAATGTAGGTTGTCTTTCGCCGTCATATTTGCGGATTCACCTCGGACGATCGATACTATATTGACATTGACCAAGCAGATTTTAGAAATCGAACGAAAAGCGATAGGGCAAACACAAAAAGGCCCTTAAAGAGGATGAGTTTGCAAAGACTGAGAACTGAGTTCGAGGCACTGGCCAAGACTAGAAGTAAATAAAGCAGTGAATGAGGACTGAGAATCTCACCCTGAACAAATCAAAACATCCTGGTCTCCTAATCGTGCGCGTACGGACAAATCCGATCTTGAGTCAGATGGGAGTCTGGAAGAGGGACACAACGACACTTACCTAAGTCCTTCAAATTGCTTTCGAAATCGTAAGGCATCGCCTCGTTTTCCCCGGCGACAATTTATTTACAGTTTTGGTCTCGTTCCGCGGCCGCCCACCGACACATGCACTAGTTTATGAAGAAACATAGTGCGTCCCCGACGTGAAACTGCAAATAAAGTCTTCATTGAGCAGCTATTTCTCTTTGCTCTGGGACTCTTCCATCGTTTACCCACACTCTTTTGCTTCTTGCTAACCGTCACTCCTTTGCCACTATCATGTTGTTGAAATCTCTTAGCCCTCTTCTGGGCTGCCTCGCCGTCTCTCAGACCGTTTCTGGGTCACTATTGCCCCGCGGAGGCGATGACTCTGGTGGTCACCCCTGGATTAATCATGACGCCGTCGTTCCATTCACTCAGAAGCCTTCCGTCGTTGGCGGAAGCTTGGAACTTCGTTTCAACCCCTTCCTCTTCGTTTCGGGAGGTTGCGACCCTTACCCGGCAGTAGATGCCCAGGGCAACCTTGGGTAAGTAAACATCCTTTCTTTCTAGTAATCCTCTGGCACGGATTAGTTTTTGAGGATGACAGCATGCTGATACGATGCAAAATAGCGCTGGTCTGAAGCCTACTGGTGGTGGCCGCAGCGGCTGCGGTGACGGTGGCTCGGCTCAAGTCTATGTTCGTCGTGGAGAGAGCCAGGGCCGTAAGGCCATTATCTACAGTTACTACATGCCCAAGGTCCGTTGGGCCAAGGGAAACAACAACGGTCACCGCCACTACTGGGCTAGTGTCGTTGTCTGGGTCAACCGCTTCGGCTGCGACGACAGCGACATCACGTCCATCTGGCCTGTTGGCATCTCCTACACCACCGACCACCTGAACTGGGGCTCTGCTTCTGCCGGAGAAGTCTCATTCAGGTCCTCGGATGTTGGCATCGATATGGCTACGCACCCCAAGATTCAGATCCACGACGAGGCCATCGCGCCCTTCACCGGCGCCGATGGTGACAAGCTTTTTGAGCGTACCCTTATCAGCTGGGATTCCCTCCCCGCGCTTGCAAAGAAGGCCTTGACGGACGTCAAGTATGAGAAGACCCAGGTTCCCTTCACCGACGAGCACTTCCAGGCTCAAATTGACGCCGCTTACCGTGATGGTTTCTATGCTGGTGTAAAGACGGAGCCTGACTGCCCTTCAAATGATGTGCCTCCAGCCGATGACCCGCCTGTGACTACAACGGCCGCGGCTGCAGAGCCTACCGGCTTGGATAAATGAGCAACGGCGACCTAGTTTGGAAGAAGTGGTTCGGCTTTTGGCAATTGGGTTAGCTGGCAGTTCTTAGGTGAACGATCGGACAAAAGTCTGTCTGTATTGATCTCTTTACAATTCTGTCTCCGTTTTGCCCAGGAAGGACTTGGCGAGGCCATGCAATACTTAGACGAGCAATAATAAGTCTTAATCTCCCAAGTACTCAGAGCCACGGCTGCACTTTTCTTATTATATACCAGCTGAGTGCTGGGGCGGGTAGTCTCAATGATCACGTTTTCCGCCTCTCCCTACACCACACGAGAGCCTAGAAACATCTTATAAGTGTCACTGTGCAGTCATGAAACTCTTCGGAGCAGGCTAGATAGCGTCGCAGCTCTTGATGAACGTCTCTAGAAGTTCAACTCGAGATGAACAGAATGATCTACAGAGTTCTTTGGCCCCAGTGAATACATGTACTGCGCATCCCAAAGTCTCTCCTGAACGTGTTATAACAGCGAAGTTGAGCATTCAGATCCGAACGTCTCAGTTGAGGCCTCATATTCACATGCACTTTCGAGAAGCACAGTTTGTTCGTATGGTGATGTGGCAGTACTTAAACGCGACTCAACCGCAAAACTTGATAGACATCTATTTTACTTCGGAGTCGGTAACCCCCTTGTTTTGCCTCAACAGACCTGAACTAAGCACATCCGCCTGATGTTTATATGATACTGGCCACTATCCACCGTGTATACAATTGGGAAGTTTTCGCCGACCTGCCTACTGAATTGAGTTCTATTAGATATCTGAGGGCAGAGGCTTGTGCGAAGCGGTGGGAGCCGGTGGGGCCTTCGAGGGCATCGGGCCAGCCGGCTCCGGGTCAGTGGGGTCACCTCCGTCCTCATCGCCATCGCCGCCCGGAAGATCGGCATAGAAACCCTCGTCGAATGCCTTGTTCAAGTTGTCGCCAAAGTTCTTGTCGATAAAGGGGACCGAGGTGTGCTCGAAAATGGCGCCGTCCAGCTGCTTCTGCGCAGGCTCCGGGAGCATATCCCAGTCGATGATTGGGAGGTTAAGGGTGTTTTCCATGTTCTCGGTGAGCGGGCCAACAATTTTCTTGCCCCAGTAAGCCACGAGCGGATGCGTGGGTCTGCCCACCAGGCTAGCGCCCGACGACCACTTCGTGGCGGGATAAGAGCCAACGTTGTACACTCCATTGTCGGTTTGGTAGCTGATGCCCACGGGTTGCGCGGTGTTGACTTCGGCACCGTAAACCCATACCACGATGGATGCCCAGTAGTGACGATGCTCCTTGTTGACTTTGGGGACGTAGAAGGAGTACATGATTCCGGTGCGTTCTTTGACTGTGCCAGTTCTGACGTAGAGCTGGCCTTCACTAGACCCACAGTCACCATTTCCCTTGCCGGTGGGCTTGAGACCGGCGCTTCATGAGTGTTATGGTTAGTCTCAAAAGCCAATAGCTAGTCATTATCAGAGACAGGGTAGATGTGCACATACCCGAGATAGCCTTCAGCATCCACAGCTGGGAAGGGAACACATCCTCCCAAAACTTTGATAAAGGGCTGAAAACGAAGTTGAAGTTCTCCCTTAGATCCAGAGGCAGCTTCAGCTGGAAGGGAGTGAATGTCGTCATGGTTCTTCCACTTGCCATCTACGGCCACGTCCTTTGCTCGCGCTTGCAGAGTGGCCGAGAGGACACTCGGGACGCTCACAAGCAGGAAAGTTGCAAATTTGGTTAACTTCATTGTTTTGATCGAGCTCGAGTTGTCGAAGATGATGGTAGAGAACGACCAGTGTCTGCGTTGACTGTTATATATCTCTGGCCACCTGGCGGTGTCGTCCATGGTAGCAGGCGTCCAGAGGTTACAGTCTCCGTGGGATAGATAGAATGGAGCTATCATCTCGTAACTCAAACACAACATTCCAGCGGCCAAATGAACGAAGAGTCACGAT